TCTACACATCGTTAGCAGCAAGCGCCAGCCGGAGGCGGGCACCGGTCGTGGCGCCAGCTATGCAAGGGCACCGTGCGGGCCTGGCGACGCGCGCCAGCCTGGCACTCGTCACTCTCTTGCTGGTAGCAGGGTTGGGTGGCGTGCTCGCGCAGCCGCGGGTCATGCCCAAGGCAGCGTCCGTGAAGTGCGGCGCTGTGGGGCAGGGCTGCTGCGCAGAATGCCCGCCAGACACGCCGCCAGCAGGTGAGAATGCGGCCTCGCAAAAGTACCCTGCATGTGTACCGGCTGGATGAGTCCTGCTGCATGAATTCGGGGACACCACGAAGCGCGCGCGTTCCAACTCGCGTGGCAGCCGGGCCCGCTCGATTCGCCGTCAAACGCACCGCTTGATCAGCCGCGTGCGGCTTGCCCCAAGCGGCCATCCTCACGGTGGGGGCCGACGCCCCTCTGTCTCGTGCAGAGTGCGACCAGTGGTCTTGCCGGGACGGCGCGCAGTGCTACCTGTTCGCCAACGAGGCCAGCGTCCCGCCAGACGGTCAGCGGGGCGCCGCGCTCAGGGGCGAGGGTGCTGCAGCCGCTGTTGCGGGGAAGCCGGGGCCCCGACTGTAGGCCCGCCGTGCGGGGCGGCAGGGCGGATGCAGCGGGCCGGCAGGGCCTGGCGCTAGGCCGTGAAGCTGCGGCCTGCACCTGCAGCTGTGCGCGCCCCTGCCTTCTGCATGCTGGCGGGCTGCGGCGCGTGCTTGCAGACTGGAATGTAGGCTGCGACACGCATCCATCTCTGCCCCGCACCCGACCCAAACCGTTTTGGCGCCTCTCATTCTCCGCCCGTGTCAGGTGGTGCCGCCTACCCGATGATGTGCCTGGCCACGCCCAAAAATTGCGGCCAGGAGGGCAAGGCATGCTGCTACAACTCAGACCCTGCGAGTGGGTGCCCAGGGGACAGGAGCGGCTCCCCACATTTGTATGGTTGCTGTCCCAGCCGTGGCAAACACGTGCTGCCTGCAGCCTCTATTGTTGTCCCAGCTACGGCCTCCCCTGCAGCAGCTTTCATATCTTCACACACCATGTGGACGGCCATGTGGGCGCCCCCATCCCACCCACCCCCAGGCGAGGACCGCTGCCAGGCCGGCCTTTCTTGTGTGGCGGAGGGCATAATCCCCTACTCCAGTTACGACATGTTCAAAAAGCTGAGCAAGGATGTCTCACGAACCAGTGACACCAAGGTCATGGGAACCTGCAGGAAGCTTACAACGGCGGACTGCGGCAAGCTCTGGCGGCCCTGCGGCGGCGCCGCGAAGCGGCTGGGCTGCTCTGGCGCCCAGCTGCAGTGCGGGGACAACGCGTTCTGCGCCTCCCCCGGGGATACGCGCCTCGGGACGCCGCGCTGCCTGCCGCTGCCGCCGAAATGCGGCCGGCTCGGCAACGCGTGCTGCCCCGCCAACAAGGACGGCATCGTGCGGGAGCGGTCGTTTGTGGACAAGAAGACACCCGTGCCGTTTTGCAACGATGGCGACAGCATGTGCGTTTGGGCCTACGAGGACTTCACCAAATACGGTACATCACAGTTTCCACAATCACCTGGTATGTGGGGGCCAGGGGGCAGGGACCAGGGGGTGGCGAGGGGGCGAGGCGCCCCGCAGAGGCGCGAAAACCGCTCACGCCCCAACCGCACCCAGAGAGGGTTGCCACATCTGCGGCAGCTGCAGCTTAGCAGGGAGCAAAGGTTTGCTGACCCAGCTGCCATGCGTGCGCCTAACAGTTTTGCGCTGTAGTCGGTTTCTGGTTTCCAGCCAAAAACGACGCCCTCCCGCCCTCTGCCCGGTCCGAAGGTGTCGAGCCCTACAAATGGGACGGCCTGTTCCAGCGCGGCTACGGGCGGTCGCGCTGCATCGCGCTGCCCAAGAGCTGCGGTCAGCCGGGCGAGGTGTGCTGCGCCAGCATGTTGGACCAGGTGAGCTGTGGGCTGAGGGCAGGGTTCCCTGCGGGGTGGAGAACAGGGTCCAGGGCGCGGGGACCGCAGGGGGGAGCTTGGGAGGATCCCCTACGCGGCAGCGGCCCATGGAGGACTGAGGATAGCCCTTGGGCCGTGCGCTTTGAAGCTTGGGGACAAGGGAGGCCTGGACGACATCTCGGCGTTTGGTTTGAATGCTCCTTGCGGGCTGCCGAACTTGATACCTCGTTGTTTGCAGCTTGGCGTATTGGGCCCCCTTCATAACATCTCTTCGCGCTTGCTCGCCCCCGCTCTCTTCCGTGCGCAGCGCATCAGCGGCCTGGTGCACAACCGCCTGTTCCCCTACCAGCCCTGCAATTACCGCGCGTCCGGCAAGAGCGGCATGTTCTGCAGGGGCCAGTGGCAGGGGGGGCTGCTCAACAGCGACGTTGTGCTGGGCACCTGCAGTTTCAACACAGACGACTGCGGCAAGGTGGGCCATGATTGCCAGAAGAGTGTGTTAACACAGGGCTGCTCGTGCTGCAGGGAAGGCGCCCCGGCGACAAATGTGGGGACCCCCTTGGGCGCCGCGCAACGCGCGACGATCTACCGGCCACGCCAACCTGCGCTCTCCTCTGTTGCGCCCCTCTGTTGCGCCTCGATATCCCCTCCTCACCTGGCTCCCTCGCCGCACCCGCTCCCGCACCACCCACTCTTTTTGGACTACAGCCTGGCAAGGCATGCTGCATGAACGACATTCCCGAGGTTGGGGGCGCTGTGGGCACCTGCACCAAGGGCTCCAAGCAGCAGGGACCTCACTACTGCAACAAGAAGTATACCTGCGAGAAGTGCCCCTCCAAGCTGCAGACCAAGGAGCAGCGCGAAAACTGTTTCGCAGGCCAGGGCCGCGGGGGTTGAATGCGACGCACTCCGCTCTTTGGATGTGGTAGGCAATCAACAGGTTGCAATCTCACCAGCGGCTGCAAAGCCGCTTGAGCACCAGCAGTGAGCGACGACCAAGCGATGGCGGTCTGCAAGTTGGGGCGGTTGTACACGCTGTCAAGCTCAGGATGAGTGAAAACGTACGTTGCACACAGCGCCTCACCTGCGCCAGCAAGTATGCATGTTTGGTGGCGAGTGACAATCATAAGTTTGTTGGGCTGGGAAGGCAGTTGTACTGGCGTGTTTGATGTGCCGTCATTATTTGAGACCTGGGCTTACTTGATGGCTTGTGTCATGAGAACAAGCGTCAAGAGTTCTGCTTGGGCGCCTGGGATCAGAATTTCAAACGCTTTGATCCTCAACACGCACTGACAGCTGCAACGTGCTGTTGCCGCTCTCTTGGTTGCATGCTGTGGCATAGGCGGCCCTGCACGCTGCAGCAGCCGCAAATCTCACCACGTTGCTTTCTTTACGAAATCACCCGAAACATGCAAAGTACGCACTCTTTGAAATAATGCACTGGTGCAGTGGCCTTCCCCCCGCGCTTCAGCTTTTGACTCAGCCCAAGACAGTGCGTGTGTTGCAGAAGCCACAATGCAACGCGCCGGCCAACCTGACTCTGTAGCAAGACACCCCGTCTCCTGAAGCGCACGTGCCCAACTAACAGCTCTATCAGATAAAACTGTACAATGTTGCGCATTGAACGTGATCTGCGACAGCTGCCTGCTGCTGTGGTCGTGTTGACCTTGGCGGTGCAGTCATCAACTTGGCAAACCTGATGTGTCACAGCACGCCTTGCCCTTCTCACGCACAAACGCCTCAGGCCCTACCGATACCGTACTCTCTCTGCATTCATTGCGGGCCATCAAGCACGTCTCAGCCTGCATGTTGCGTACGTGATCTCGAGCACTGTGATCATGCGCCGCTTGAAAGGAGCAGATAAATCACATATAAGAAAACTCATGCGTGTATATCATGTGAACGGGGGAGTGCGGCAGCGAATTGCCTCAAATAACGATGCGGTGAATGCAGGCACTACGCCGCTCCTGGAAGCAGTGCTGCAGCGCGCAGGAAGAGTCCAGGAGGCGCCCTTCCATGTGCCCGGCCACAAGGTCAGCTGTTTCAAAACCCAGGAAGGAATGTGCATGCTGCGTATTGTGGTTTGCATGGCAGTCCCTGGCGCGTTTCAGCCGCTGTTCAGCCGGCCGCTTCCAGGCAGCTTCCCTTATATCGACACGGCCTGCACTCACCCCGGCCCCCACAAACGCAGAGGGGACGCACGATCTCAGATGGCATGCGCAGACTGCTGCAGGGCCCAGGGGGACCCCTGGCCGGCGACCTGACGGAGATCGCAGGTCAGCGCCGCCGCCAGCCACGCAACCATCGATTGGGCGGCGCAAGCCTCGCAGCGCCAAGGTCGCACGTGAAGCTGCGGCTGTCGTGGATTTCCAATTCAATCTTGTCCCTTGCCGCGGCCGGCCGCCATGCGGCGTGCTTCAGCGTGTTGTGTTCTTGCTCGATGTTGGGCACCTCGCGCACCCTGGGGGTTGGCACGATCGCTGATGCCCCAACCGTCCACGACTAACCCGCCGCGCACGACGGAGGGCCCGCAACCTACCGCGCACCGGCCGCCCCCATCCACCCCCCAAACACCCACCAGGCCTGGACTACCTGTCCTACCCGACGGGGGTCATCGCCCAAGCCCAGGCGCTCGCCGCCGCCGCGTTTGGCGCTGACCGCACCTTCTTCCTGGTCAATGGCTGCACGGCAGGCATCCACGCCGCCGTCATGGCCACCTGCCCGCCAGGCTCAACGCTGCTGCTCGCGCGCAACTGCCACCTCAGCGCGTTCAACGCGGCGGTGCTCGCCGGCTGCCATACCGCGTGGGTCGCGCTGGAGGCGGACGAGCAGCACGGGGTCGCGCACTGCGTGGCGCCACGAGCGCTGGCTGCCGCGCTCCAGGCGCAGGCGGCGGCGGGGGCGCGCGTCGGGGCGGTACTGGTGGTGTCGCCCACTTACTTTGGGGCGGTTGCCAGGGTGGCAGGTGGGCGTGAGGAGGCAGGTTGGACCCCTGGGGGTTCGGAGTGAAGAGATTCCCACACTCCTTAATTAGGAACTGTCGTGCTGCTCCAGAAACACCTCTTTCATGTCAAGCAGAGGGCCCCTGATTTCGACATGACATTCGCGACAACTGGAGGCTTTTGCTGCCCAATTCCTCGTTTGCAGAGCTCGCTGCTGTCTGCCACGCCGCGGGCGTGCCGCTCATTGTGGACGAAGCCCATGGTGCCCACCTCACGCCGGCGTCCCGCCAGCTGCCCGGCGACTTCCCGCCAGGCGCGCTGGCGGCCGGCGCGGACGTGGCAGTGCAGAGCACGCACAAGGTGCTGACGGCGATGACTCAGGCGGCGATGCTGCACGTGCGGCGCGGGCGGGTGGATGAAGAGAGGGTCGCGCGCGCCCTGCAGGTGCGCATGTTTTGCAGAAGGGGGGTCCATCGCTCGCCCACTTGCGCCCCAACGTGCGCCTGGAGGCTCAGCACGGCCCTGCAGCCGCACAATTTGCACCAGCAAGTGGGATCCTTCCATCCCGGGTGCTTGCTGCGGATTCCCGGCCTGTCCCAGCTGCTGGCCGCCCGGCAAACACAAAGCGAGTCGTCGGGACACCCCATAGCCGCCCACGCCACGCTGGCCGCCTTGCCGCTCAGACCCTGGCACCCATCTCTCCCGCGACCATTCTCCACAACCACCCAGGTGCTCCAGAGCTCCTCCCCCAGCTACCTGCTGATGTCATCGCTCGACGCGGCCAGGGAGCACGCCTTTGCACCTGGAACATGGCAGGGGCCCCTCGGGGTGGCGAGCTTTGCGCGGGAGGGGCTGCGGCGCATCCCTGGTGTTGAACTGCTGGGTGGCGGCAACCTGGGGGTCAGCCAAAGCAGCCGGGACGCCGGCAGCAGCAGTGACGGAGACGGTGATATCAGCAGTGGCGGCAGCAGCAGCAGCAGCCGCAGCAGCAGCAGCCGCAGCAGCAGCAGCAGCAGCAGCAGCAGCAGCAGCAGCAGCAGCAGCAGCAGCAGCAGCAGCAGCAGCAGCAGCAGAGGCCGAGGCAGTGCTGGGTCGTCCATTGGCGGCTTCGACCCGCTGCGGCTAGTGATAAACGTGGCTGGCCTGGGGCTGACCGGCTTCGACGCGGCTGAGTGGCTGGAGGAGCATGGCGCCGTCGTGCCAGAGCTGGCCACTCTGAAGGTGGGCTGGGGATGCATCACAAACACATTCAACGCACATGCCGCCGCTTTCGCGAAGTGTGGGGTGTACGGCGGCCATATTGTTGTTGTGGTTTGATGGGGACAAACGAGCTGCCAAGACTTGGCACCTACCTCACCCCAGAACTGCGCCACAGTCACCAACTAGATAATCCCCTGACGCAAGCGTGTGTCCCCCTCTGTACTTGTGTTCATGCAGCTGGTGGTGCTGGTGGTGGGGCCTGGCAGCACCAAGGCAGATGTGGAGTTGCTGGTGGAGGGGCTGGCGCGGCTGGCAGAAGACAGGCGTGGCCAGGAGGGAGAGTTTCCACAGCAGGCATCATTTCAGACTCACCTGAAGCCTGCGCCACCAGCGCAGCCGCCGCCGCCGCCGCCGCAGCAGCAGCAGCAGCAGCAGCTCATGACGCCGCGAGAGGCATTCTTCGCGCCGACCATTCGTGTGCCGCTTGCCGAGGCCGAGGGCCGCGTGTGCGCTGAGCTGCTGTGCCCTTACCCGCCAGGGGTGCCGCTGCTGTTTCCGGGCGAGGCTGTCGGCGCAGAGGCGGTGGCGGCGCTGCGCGGCACGCTTGAGAGCGGGGGCGTGGTTGTAGGTGCAGGCGACCCTTCCCTGCAAACAGTGCTTGTAGTTGCAGGGCAGGGACAGGGCGAGGGGTTCATGAGCCTGTAATCAGAGTCATGTTGACCGCATGCAGTTGTGTCTACAGCTCTGCTAGTTTTGGCGGGATGCATGCATGCACAGGGTGCAGGCAGATTTTTTGGGACGTCAGGGGGGGCGGGCGTCTGACTGCGGTCAACACCGATGTGTGCAACATCGATGGACTGCCTCATTGGGCTTGTCAGCATATCAATTGGATTTTTTCACAATTCGCCCCGCAACAAGTACCCTTCCAGCACACAGCAGCTGCGGCGCGCTTCGTTGTGGTGCAGTGTGGTGCAGCGCTTCGGCTAGTGCTGGCCCTTCCTAGGCGCCTCCAAAGTGTCTACATGTGCTTTGTCCTAAGTATTAACCAACTTTTGCAACAAACAATGCATGATTTGGCTTCCCACCCGTCCCGGTGGACCCTCATGTCATGTTCGAAGCGGGTGTGGCCATTGCGTTGGGATGACGCCCTGACTCCAACAGGCACGGGACCACAGTGGGTGGCACGCGGGCATCAATGCATGTATAAGCTGGTGGCCTCTGCAAATCACCTGCACATCACCCAGCTTCCATATACAGCCGAGATCATCTGCTTAGTGGAGAGGCCGACCAAGCTCGGCAGCAGCGGGACGCTCGCAGCATCATATGGTGCGCATATGTATTATATGAAACAATGATACCAGCGACAGTGAGCACCATCATTATCGCATCACTCATCACTGGCGCGCTGCTGCGCCGCCGCTGCTGCTGCATCCCCGGTTCCGTTGCAGAACATCTTCAACAAGGGGCCTGCCAGCCGTCGCGGAGAGCCAGCAGCTGCAGGGATGGACCTTGATAAGCTGCCGCATTTTGGATCGGGCGCCGCGAGCGTGCCTCCGCCGCCCGGCGAGCTGCGCCGCGGCTCTGTCGCCAGCACCACCTCCGAACTCGCGCGGCTCAGCACGGGCGTTGCCAAGCAGCGCAGCGCCAGGGGCAGTGATGGACGGCTGCCGTTGCCGCACAGCAGCGCCCCTGTGCCCTCCTATGTCGAGGAAATCCAGGACCTCAAGCACATGTTCAAGAAGGAGGCCCGGGCGTGAGCACAGCAGGGGGGAGGGGCGGAGGGGGTGTGGCGGTTGGTTACCTGCGGGAGGTCGGGCAACCTCGGGGGAGGAACATGCTGGGAGGCTTCCATGCATGTGGCGTCGCATCGCCCCACGAATGCTCTGTATGCGACATGCGGCAGCGGGTGAGGTGCGCACCAGGGCATGCGCGCGTCCGAGGCACGGGCCCAAACCCCTGCCCCACTCTTTTGGGTCTGCATGGTGTCACCACGGCGCCATACCTCATCTGTCCAGCCGACCCCCGGACTGGACACCCCTCGCTTCTGCCCATGGTGCTTGCCGCAAAGAAATGCCTTGGCGCGGCAGAACCGCGGCTTTCTGGACTGGTTTGCGGTGGTGCTGCCCTGCGTGGCCTGGCTGCGGAGCTATGACTTCCGCAACAACATTATGGTGCGCCCCGGCAGCTGCCGACCACGCAGTTAAGGGCGTCCAGGGAATGCAGCCCTGCGAACTGCAAGGTCTGCGGGAAAGGAAACAAAAGTTGCAGTCGCCCAAGCCCACCCAAGCAGCAGCCGTGGCGGCGCGCTGACGCGCGCAGTGAGCGCCGCCCACCCCAACATGCCATGTCCCTGCGGTCCAGTCTGCCTCGTTTGCGTGCAAACATGGGCCAACGGGCCAATGGGCCCCCACCCGCGGCTCCCTTTCGGTGCGCCTGGCCCACCTGCCTCCCACCGCCTGCCGCCCTCCAAACCCCGGTCACCCAGTGGGACCTCCTCGCGGGCATCACTGTGGGGTTCATGGTGGTGCCACAGGGTATGAGCTACGCCACTCTGGCTGGTGGGTGTATTGGGGGTTGGACCAAAGGGTTTGCGGGGCACGCAGGGGTGGGGAGGGGCCTGAGGGGAGTGAGACCGCTTGTTGTGCTGCTGAGGGCCGTGGCGGGACACAGCTGCTGGTGGTGGGGCCGGCGCGGTTGCTGCCGCCCCTTTTCCAGGGTGCGTGCCGAGATTGGCATCACCCCTGCTTTTGGATCGGCCTGCTGGGACGTGGTGCGGGAGCAGCGGGGCATCAAGCCCCCGGCTCTGCTCTTGGCACCTGGCCACTTCTCTGGCCACTTGGGCGGCCCCTACAGCTCCCTGCTCCTGAGGCGGCACACCCACCCCCATGCACACACACACACACACACACACACACACACGCGCATGCAAAACCTCGCGGCCACATCTGTACCCCACGCCCCCAGGTGTCCCCGCGGTGTACGGGCTGTATGGCGCATTCCTGCCGGTCCTGGTCTACTCACTGTTTGGCAGCAGCAGGCAGCTGGGCGTGGGGCCCGTGGCTGTCACATCCCTGCTGATCGGCAGCGGTGAGGGGCGCGCGTGCAGGCGGAGCGAGGGCGACCGCCGGAGGCACCAAGACGGCGTGCGAGGGGCTGTGTGGGCGGCTGCAGCTTGCAACGAGGCTGTCTTTGCCCCCACTCCCCTTGGCCGTCTCGACCCCCAATCCTAACATCCGTGGTTGAGGCCTGTGCCGACTGCCCGGCCCCCATCCGCCGCCGCTGCCCTGCCCCCATCCTCCAGGCATCCAGAACATGGTCCCGGGCTCCGCCGAGATCCAAAACCCCAGTGACCCCGCCCCGGACCAGATCCCCATCCAGCTGATCTTCGACACCAAGGTGGGGCAGCGCGGCCGCCACACGCGCCTCCACTCGATAGCCGCAGCCCTGGATGCCTCCCAGGGCCAGGATCAGTCCTCGGGTCCGTGTCGCCTCCCCTCAAGACTGCCCTGCCTTGCCCCACCAGCTGGAGGGTGAGGTGTGCCATGTTGGTGAGTTCTGCCACAGCCCTCTATATCCGCCCGCAGCCCTCCGCCAATCCCCGCACCTCCTGCCATCCCCCCCTCCCCCCTCCAAACCACACAACTGCGCCGCCAGGTCATCCAGCTGGCGTTCCTGGTGGCCTGCCTGTACACCGGCGTGGGCGTGCTGCGCCTGGGCTTCCTCATCCACTTCCTGTCGCACTCTGTCATCACGGGCTTCACCAGCGGCGCCGCCATCATCATCGGACTCAGCCAGGCGCGACACACACACACACACACACGCACACACACACACGCCCATAGACACACGCCCACAGACACACGCCCATAGACACACGCACACACGCACAATCTTTCACAATCACCGCTACACTTTCTGCGTACGCGCTTGAGCGAGGGCCAAGCGCACGGCCCGATGTGCGCTCAACGGGTGTGTGTGTGGCGCAGCTCCACCCACGCGCTTTGGGTCGCACCGCTGTCGGCCAGTGAAGCGCTGTTCCCTCACGCTCCCCACCCGGGCGCTCGGCACCGACACCCTCGCCATCCCACCTCATGACACCACTCCCACTCCCACAAC